TGTGGTGCGCGTGTACGGTTTGTGCGAATGTGACTTCGCTCACCGTCGACATATAAGCGGATCACCGAACGATGTACTGTGAGAACTATTGTCAGACCTCTCATTGCACAGAGAAGTCGAATGTAGTTTGATTGAGATTTAAATGAAAGCAAACTTGATATCACACAAGCTAGCTTAATTTTTCTCCTTATAAACATTTCCCATCTTCCATGCTACGAGCCTCGACCAGCAGCCAGAAGGAGAAGGAAAGAAGGAAGTCATTCTCCAGCCGCCCTGGGTTCCCCACCGCCTGCCTGCCAAATCTCTCCTACCTACGGTGCCAGCTCATTGCTCTCGACCGACACGGTGCCACTTACCGAATCAACTCCCCCCGCCGCCTGCAGTACTATGGCCCCCACTGTCCGCCTCTCTGGCCCATACGCACCTTCCCCCTATCTCGCTCGCCGACCATGATAAGGTTCGACAAGCTAAGGCTTTCGCTGCAGCAGTGACTGCACAATGCAATTCAGAGGGTTGCATTGGTTCCCCACGTAGTTCTCCGGCGTTCTCCACTTGCTATAGTCCGGAGTTCGACCACACCGACTTCTCCACTTTACTAGAGGGTTACGAGTCCCAATAAGGGTTAAGTAGCCTCCCATCCCCTAGTAAAAATTCAATCTGCACTTTTAAGGGTTTCACATTATTTTTTTTGTGAAACAAAAATTTGACTAGAATTCCCCTACCCGTAAAAAAGGGAAATTCGCCCATGTCAAGCTATTAATTAATATATAACGTCTTGTTAAAATGTATATAAATATATAAAACATATATTTATAATAATTTTTATTTAAATAAATATAATATACAGTGAATTCATTATTATAGCACTGTATGTATATGAGGCATTTTACGTGAAATGTCCTAAGTTGAAATTTCAACTTCTTGAAAAAAATTGAAACTCGAGGAATTTGTTGTTCTATCAAGTAGAAATGTGACCCAAAAAATATTTTTGATTTTTTCGAAAAATTGGAGGGGGTAGAGGGGGGTCAATTTGACCAATTTTGCCAACATCGGCTACTTTGTGAATTTTTTCTGAACATACTTGTAATGGGAACAATTTTTTAGAATATGTTTCTGAAAGGTTTTTTCGTCCTCTTTCCAATGGTGTATTTTATTTTTTAATAGTTTAAAAATTTACCCTAATTTTTGATGATTTATATTTAATTTTCAATTACCCAAAAATCGGTCCGTTTTTTTTGAAAATAAATTATTGCAAACGAAAGCTGAGGTTTTTTCCTATCGGCATGTAAATTTTCAGAATGCCCTTTTTTGTTTTTGAGTTATTGAATTTTAAAGAATAAATTGCGGCGCGCTGCGTCGCGGTTGCACTGAGCCGCGTGGCAACCGGCGTGAGACGAGGCGCCCGGGACGCTGCGCGCCGCAATTTATTCTTTGAAATTCAATAACTCAAAAACAAAAAAAAGGGCATTCTGAAAATTTACATGCCGATAGGAAAAAACCTCAGCTTTCGTTTGCAATAATTTATTTTCAAAAAAACGGACCGATTTTTGGGTAATTGAAAATTAAATATAAATCGTCAAAAATTAGGGTAAATTTTTAAAATATTAAAAAATAAAATACACCATTGGAAAGAGGACGAAAAAACCTTTCAGAAACATATTCTAAAAAATTTTTCCCATTACAAGTATGTTCAGAAAAAATTCACAAAGTAGCCGATGTTGGCAAAATTGGTCAAATTGACCCCCCTCTACCCCCTCCAATTTTTCGAAAAAATCAAAAATATTTTTTGGGTCACATTTCTACTTGATAGAACAACAAATTCCTCGAGTTTCAATTTTTTTCAAGAAGTTGAAATTTCAACTTAGGACATTTCACGTAAAATGCCTTATATATCCTTCCTATATTTCAAAAGGAAGTTTAAGTAAAATCACTTTCAAGCTTGCGTGGCTGTGTGGTTAGTGTATTCGACTTGCGTCCTCGAGGTCTAGGGTTCGATCCCCCGTGCGTGCGATATTTTTACGTCTTAGTTCTAAGTGTTTAGTGTATAATTCTCAACAGTGTGACATAAAATATAAATTTAAATAATTATAAACAATAATAATAATAATTTAGTAATTAATTAAAATAAATAAGATTGTATAATAGGGTGGTCCAAAAATACGTTAAGAAAGAAAAAGTCGGAATTTTTTTGCTCTCACCCCCCAGGATAGAAGTTTGTAGGAAAAAAAATACCACTGTTTTTTTTCTTCATAATAAAATAATATTAACCCGTGCCTCAAAGCCTGTCAAATTTCTTATGTATTTTAAATGAGAAAAAAACCACTTTTCGTAAATTTAATATAAAATCTAGAGAAATTTTTTTTTCACTCGGTTAAGGATGCTTTTCTTCTAGAGTGTTTAAGGAATAATATCCTTTTACATATTTAACATATTTTTTATTTTTTTTTTAGTTTTGAAAAATTCTCAAAAAACGGTAATACACCGAAAAAAATCTCGATGGTATTATTAACTATGACCCTATAGTTAATCTTAATCTAGTAAAAGTAATAAAGATTCCTAATCATTATGGTTAGGATCGCTAGGTTGATTCCACAAATTCAAGCCTGGCAACAACAACCCTGCAAATCCTAGTCAAACAGACTAGGATTTTAGTAATTTTGCCTATTTCCATAATGCGCACGCGTCTGCTTCTGTTCTGACAGTGTTTACCTCTATATCTTTCGCGTCATTTATCGTGATTTCGTAAAACGATTTTTTATCATTACTCGCGTCTATTTTTTGTACATAAAATGGAGTTCTTACGTACATCAAAATTGCTGGTTTCTCGGAGCCTCTGGAAATATAGATAGTCCATGTTTTAGAAAGTAAACTATTTAATTATATTAGTCAATTCTTTCAGACTTTTTTGGTTAGGTTTCAATATAAATCGTCGAAATTTTTACGCACGTGGTGACAACATTTTTACTATTTTAATCGCGCAGTGTGTTTGAAAATTTACCTTTGCAATAATTTGTGTATTTAAATTTATTTCCATTTAAATGGCATAAATAGTTAAAAATAAATAGTTTTTGACAAGTGTATAAAATTGTGTACTTGAAATGTGTAAAACATCATCTGATTAAGTATTGTATTTTGACTCGAAAATCTAGTGTCTATTAAAAAATTAAAATAACCAGTCGTGTTTAGTGTAGTGGTTATCGTTCCGGGTTTCAAAGTGCGTATTCGTTAGGTTCAGGTGTTCGCGTCCCCCCTGCGTCAAATATTTATTTCATAAGTTTAAATTAATTCCAAGGAATATAAATACAAAGTCAAACATATTAAACATATTTATGTTCAAATACAATAATTAATTTTTTTCTTTACCCCTTTTTTCTTTTAATTACTTTTTCTCTTTTATTTGATAATAAGAATTTGATTAGCAATTTCAAATAATTATGATACACAGTGTAAATCTAATATTATTCTCCTAGTCAATTTGACTATTTTTTCCTGATTACATCGACTAATTTTCCTGGTCACTTTAACTATGCTTGAATCTTATTACTTTGACCAGGATTCTATAGTTGGCTCCTCTCGTAACTAGGAAACCTAGTCAATTCCTGGTATACGGGTCCTAGGCATTTTTTTCGGTGTATATTATTTTTTATTACTTATTATCATTTTTTCTCATCTATTGTAATCAATTGGCTTTTATGAATCTATCAAATATTAAATTCATAAAACCATTGTATTACAATCAATGAGAAAAAATTATAATAACGAATAAAAAATAATAAATTACCGTTTTTTGCTTTTTTGAGAATTTTTCAAAAATAAAAAAAAATATAGAAAATAAAAAATTTGTTAAATATGTAAAAGGATTTTATTCCTTAAATACTCTACAAGAAAAACATCCTTAACTGAGTGAAAAAAAATTTTCTCTAGATTTTATATTAAATTTACGAAAAATGTTTTTCTTCTCATTTAAAATACATAAGAAAATTGAGGGGCTTTGAGGCACGGGTTAATATTATTTTATTATGAAGAAAAAAAACAGGGGTATTTTTTTTCCTACAAATTTCAATTCTGGGGGGTGAGAGCAAAAAAATTCTGACTTTTAGTTTTTTGGACCACCCTATTGTATAAATTAATGAAAAAAAAAAAAAAAAAATTTTTTTAAACTTATTTCAATAAAAGCAATTTTGCTAATTATTTACATTTTTATTGTTACTCATAAAAGTTTATTTACTAGAGAAATATTAATAATAATTATTAGTATTCAATTTACTCCCTTTTTTTAATAATCAAATAACAAATTAATATAAGCTTCTAAAGGTAAATTTTGTTTTAGAGAACGCGTTACAGCATTTTCCAAATTTGTTAAATTTTACCTGCGAATCAGTAATTAGGCGGTGTTCTGCCAGTGATATTTTAATACTGACTTAGTACTGACTGCCGGTAAAAAATCAGTGCTGGACAGCGTTACCAGCCAGGGATTTCCCAGTGCTGATTTAGTACTGGAGTCAGTACTGCTATACTGGCAGTCAGTACTGAGTCAGTACTATGACAGTATTACATTTCTACTTGGGCAGTTACAGTAATAGTAGTAACTAATTTATGTGCTATGCGGAGAATCACTCTGACGTACGATAAAAATACTTTAAAAAATCATTTTGTTACTAACGGCGACTTTGACACAACATGCTTCGCGAAAATCGCCCTTAGGACCAAAGTGATCTATGTTTTTTCATCGTATGATAACTTATATATATATATATATATATTTATAATTGGCTTTTTAACACGAATGAATGATTCCTTACAGCAGAAACCGACCAATAGGTCGAGCACTACGTAGTCGAATACCTAGAGATGAATGTGAAGTCATGTGTGAAAATCCCATGAAAAAACACTGACTAAATTCGTAAGACTTTTCCGTTTCCAATCAAATTCTTAAACACATATTTAAATTCAAACATGAAACAAGTAAGAAATATTCTTAACATTCTTTTATCTTTCAGTTATGGTCGTGAATATGCTGATCCTTATCTGGGACATGGTATTGGACCTGTTGCTGGTTATGGAGTAAGTTTTTATATAACTAAATTTAAATACTTTCGCATCTGACAGCATTTTTTGTTTAAGAAAATTAAAAAATTGACATAATACCAATATTTAATTGTAATTCAAAGTTAAAAGTAAAAAAACTGTTTTTATCTATATATCCCAACAAATAAAAGTATTTATCATACACGGAAAAAAATTTTTACTGTGGGGAACAGCTAATTTCAAAAATAAATAACATAAAGAATCTATTCAACTAATTCAGTGAATGATTTCCAATGCAGTAGTCAAACTGTTTCTCTGATATAGAGAAAATGAATTTCACTGGTCAGTCATATTGGAAATATTTGACAGTTTACCATTCTCATAAAAATTTCTCTAAAATCACAAATGTCAAATTTACATTTCTTACCTCTAAATACGTATTAATTTACTAATTTTACATTTTATTAGTTATAATATAAAAAATATAATTAGTAGAATTTGAATATACGCTTTGAACATTAATTTAAAAATGTTTTCGTTCAAGTGCTATTTTGAGGTTATGTTGTTTTCAAAAGGTAACGCAAGAAATATCATTTTCGCTAGATCAGCGAAAATGGATTATCGATGGAGCCAAATCAGTGAAACTTATAGCTATTATAGTGATTGTTATCTCTACTTTAGTAGAACTTTTTTTAGCGTGTAGTCGTTTTTTATTGGTGGAAACTTATGCCACGTCACGGTGAATTTTTTTTTCTTACCTTTGACAGACGCAATAGATGTTACCACTACAGATTGAGCCGATTGAGCGTGGTAACATTTGCACAATTATTACAGACAGAAAATTAATAGGACTAGTGGTTATTATTTATATTTGAATGTATTTTCAATAAATTTACAATATTTTTTTTTTTTTTTTTTTTTTTATTGTTTATACTCCTGCCCTATTGGCCTTACGCACTTCGACAAGAGTCCCCGAGAAATACTTTTTTGGATTAAGCATAACCATTCTACTTTAGAAATTTTCTATATATTAACCTAATTTTGCGTCTACAGCCGACTTTATTAGGAGTACTCGCATTACGCCTGGACCACCCGTCAATGGGTTTTCTCGCCAGAGAAGAGGGAAACTGTAGAAAACCTCTCTGAGTACAACCGGTTTATCGACAGTCGAGTTCTAATGGTGTGTACCGGACAATAATCGACGGTGCACATCATTATACCTCGACGTCAAACCTCCCGCTCAGATTGTCTCACGTGCCGGAAAAATACCAAGCCAAGTGGGAACGAACCAAGGGTACTGATACCCTTGGTCCTTAAACGACCACCAACGCCAGGCATCTATCCGACTGAGCCAATCTGTCGGTTAATTTACAATATTTAAATTTAAATATTGAACTTTCTGTCGGAATCGGTGCAATGTTAGGTTAATGAAATGAATAATGAGTACCAATAATTATTTATAAGTTCAGATCATATTGTAATTATATTGTTAAGTGAAGTTTGTGTATTAAATGAGAGGCTGTTTAGAATAAAGGGACGAACGCGTGGTTGAAAGGGATAATACCAGTCAGGTAGCAGTGAGCGGCTCAAAGCTTGTCACTGCTACCCGACTGGTAATATCCCTTCCAAGCCTCGCGTTCGTCCCGCTTATTCTATAGAGCCCATAAAATTTATTGTAAACATTATAAAAATAGTTTCATTAAAGAAAATTGGATAAAAATAAAACTACAGTTACATTTAAAAAACATCTTCAATTCAATAAATTATAAAAATTCTACTTTAAGTAACGATTAAAATGAATTTAAGAAAGTTAAAAAATTTTAATTAGCATTGGGAAAATTGAAAAATTAAGAAAAACAGTAAAATTAATATTTTTTATACACGGAAAAAAATAATTCGGGAATAGTTCCTGAATTCGTTACTAAATTGAGGATATTAGCAAAAGTCTGGAATTGTTATAGACCTCATGTTCGAAAGGATTGTCAAACTTTTTAAGTAGACATTCAGGAATTATTTGGGAAGAACTCGGTAATTATGTAATACTTTTTACGAAATATAGCGGCTGAGTATTTCAGATGGTCTGGGCGGTAGAATTTCCGATGAGTTTCGGAAAAATTTAGAGCGTCGCTTCATAAGAGCTACAGAATAGTTCCGGAACAATTCTGCAACGAAGATAATAAAAAAAGAAGGCGTGTATATGTTAGGCTCAAAAGCCGAAAACGTCCAATGGCCGAAGTAAATCGTATAATATACCACAGTTAGCTATTGCCGAGGTATACTGACTAGGAAATATCACGGGCATCCGTCCTGTCATTATTAAATCCATCGCTTCAAGTATTACATGAGACTCTTAGATCTCAAGCTGAATTAATTAAGAAGTCGGGTAGAGCGGTATCAATAAAAGGTAACAAATTAATTTTCGATGGCAAATTACTGAATTATGAAGAAGTGACGACTTTGACAGGAGTCACTCAGATAACCCAAGATGGAGAGAAAAAAGAAGACAGAGAAAACTTTTCTACCCGTGAAATGGAGTCAAAGAAAAAACTGGGACATCTATCTAAAAAAGCTTATCGAAGGATGTCACTACCAATTGTAGGAACCGTTGCTTGAATAAGAGTGACAAAACACCAACGTCTTCGAAGGTTTTACGTTCACACAAAGTATCTCAAGCATAGCAGTTAACACCTGAAACCTAAGCCAAATTCGAATTTGACCAGGAGTCGCATACGCACAAGTATCATTCTCTGAAATATGCGTGGAATTGCAAACATCGACAACATAGGTCATCTTCTTCGTAGTCATGCTGTTGTTTGTTTGTGCGAGTCTTGGATGGAATCCGATGTCACGGAAGCGATAAGGTTTCTTGGATGTCTTATATGCTCCAGCGGTGAGGGATGCCAAAAAGTAAGAGCTGAAGGAGATTTGATGTTAATTGTAAAAAAAGTTTTTATTCTTCTCATCTGATTTTGACAGAACCAGATTTTATAATTGTTAAATTGCTTTTGGATAATTTCTCGTTTTTAAGTATTATTGTATACATTTCTCCGACAGCGCATAGTTTTAGTTTTTTTTACCAATTTAAACCTGAAACTAAATAATCTATGTGCAGAATTTAAAGGTCTCCCTATCTTAAATAATCTAGATAATAGTGTTTTTGAAGGATATAGCCATCTTACAGCGTTTTTTGAATTTTAGATGATCCACAAGTTTTGAACGTTCAAATAAACGAAATATTTTATATTAAAAATATTTTCATAAATTACTGATTCGAATAAAAATTTAAAACTTAGATTCTACGTTTAAAAACTTTAAAAATTAATTTTTTTAATAGTGACTCAAAATTATTGTAATAAAAATTGAATTTAAAGAAGAAATAAATCAATTTCGTTCATTTGAACGTTCAGAACTTTAGGATCATAATTTTAGGGGTAGACAGTTAATTGATTGTATGGAACAGAAAGGGTTGGTTTTATGTAATGCCTTCCACTTTAAGCAATTTCTAGCTTACTAAAAATATACTAGTAATTTAAGTTCGAGTGTAGTTGACTTGGTTTGGTGTTTAATATCATTCTTACTGTTTATTCGAGACTTTAGTGTGTTAGAGTTAGTCACGGAATCATTTACCAGTCGTAGCTCATCTGTATCTTTCCTCCCTGTCAACTGGATCGGTGCTTTAAAGTGGTGAGAAGTGAATATTTAATTTTAACTTCGATAAGGCGGATGAATACTCCGAGCTAATGAGATAGAGGTGGGGATGAGCGTTGGCGTTGGTCAACTGGATTGGAAGAGTCTGGCGAACTTCTGACAACAGCGCTAGTTGAGGTTGCGATTGACTTAGACATGAGAAAGAGAGTTCAACAATCTAACATCTTTGTTTCACTGAACAAACCATGGTTAGATGCTGAGTGCAGAGTGATGAAGAATAACTTAACGGAATTCTTTTATTTGTAAAAAAACTCAAACTTTGACCCTATCTTGCGTATGCAGTATACCAAGTTACAATCAGCCTATAGAAAATTGCTAACTTCAAAAAAAAAAAAAATGATTACGCAACCATACTTTCTCTTACAAATCAACTTACTCAGGCAAAAACTTGAAAGACTTCTGGGGAATAATTAACAAAAGAAGGAAAAAATTTAATGTACACAATTAGTATTGAGGGTTGGTATGAGTTTTTGTGAAATTTTTATCCTATCAAGATCTTAGGGCCTTGGTCGGCTCCTTCTATAAGACACCGCATCCTCAATAGCTGTATTTCCTACGAAGAGATTTGTAAAAGTCTTAAGAGGTGTAAAGATTCGAAGTCACCCGGCTGTGATGGCATTAAATACAGTTTTTATAAAAGCCTCCCAGAGTTGGGACTCTCATACAGTCCCAAATTCGGGGGACAATTAAAAATGTGTATGCTTCACAGAAAGGACGACTTGGATTATCCTGAAAACTACAGACCAATTACGTTAATTAATTGCGTGGTGAAGATTTTCTCACAAATCTTGGCAAATAGACTTTTGGAATGGGAGAGAGAAAATAATGTAATTTACAACACATGACATTGTATCATTGTCGGAAACTTAAAGCTCTGAATGAATACTGTCAACAGAAACAATTGATTGTAAACACGGAAAAAACAAAAATTGTAAATTTTTAAGCTTTTAGGTTCGATAAAGAAAAAATAGAGGTAGTGAATAGTTGTACTTATTTGGGAGTGATCTTCAAAAACTCATGTTTCTTTGAGGCTGCTAAAAACAATAAGTTCGGCAACCACAGCGTTAACAGATTCAAGGCAGATACATGGTCAACCTGTAGCACACTTTTCGACAGTCTTGTTTGTATCAATCTTTTGTACGCAGTCCAGGTTTGGGGACTGATTTATAGTAATGCTATAAAAAAAGTTCAGTTATCCTTCTTTAAGAGTCTATTGTTCCTACCCAGATGCACTCCCAATTACGCTGTTCGTTTAGAAACAGGAGTGTTGCCCTTGTTATGCAGAGTACTTGATAGATCTCTCCCTTGGATTGAGAAAATTTCCAATATGGATAGTTCTCGGTTTCCAAGAGGGTGTAAATAAATTAGAACCGTTACAAATGGGTAATATTAAAAAAGCCGCTCATGCCGCGAACATAGGGACCAGAGTTGTTCGCTCATGTTTACACTCATTCGTACACATATGTTACCGGCAAAAGCCGAAGACCAGGCATTTTGCGAAATGCCTAAGATTTTAGGAAATACCCGAATTTCCTAGAGATTTACAGGCAGTTCTCGAATTGCCTAGGCATTTCGAGAATTGACTAGGCGATTCGCGAAATGCCGGGGCCGTTTTAGGCAAATTGACAATTTGTCTAAAAAGTCTTCGTCATTTTAGGCAAATTGAGAAATGGATTATCTGAGTCATTTAGGGTAAGTCCGGGGGAGGTGGACATAGTTTTTTAAAGTACTGTAAAAATTATAAAAAAGCAATTTATGTCTAAACTTTTATTGATAATTAAACATTGAACACTTAACTTTAAAGTAACTAAAAATAAAATATTTTCATAGAAACATTGGAACAATCTCAAAATTTACATTTTGTAAAAAGTGCATTTGGCCATCTCTCCCGGAATATCCGGGAGAGATGGCCAATACTTATAATTTTATACTTTTAGCTTAAACTTAATTTTTAACCGTTCAAATTACTTTTATCTTATTCTGGTCACATTTTGAACATTACGTCGGTTGGGTGCAGAAAGGTGCCAATTCAGACTAGTCGTGAAAAACGTGCCGTTTCAAAAAACACGTGAGAAACCTGCCACTTCAGCTGCGATTTGGAAAACATGCCAACTCAGAATTGACGTTCATTTTTTTTTATTTTAGTTTGACATTTGGCAGTACAGAAAAATTTGAAGCAAAGATTATAAAGTTGTACAAAAATTATTTTTTTAGTTGCATTTTGCATAATTGTTATTTTTCTTTGAAAGAGGAATATTTTTACTAATTTATTGAATTAATTTGTTGATTATTTATTATTTGATGCACAACTTCTTTCTTGTACCTAAAATGAAAAAAATGAACGTAAATTCTGAGTTGTCATGTTTTCCAAATCTCAATTCAAATGGCAGGTTTCTTACATGTTTTTTGAAACGGCACGTTTTTCACGACTAGTCTGAATTGGAATCTTTCTGCACCCAACCGACGATTTATTATGGGATTCAATGCAGTTTTCATGTAGTCAAAAATTTTAAATACTGCACTGAATCCAATCTTCAATCAATGTCGTTTGATTGTAACTTTCGACTCAACCTACAAATATATCTCCATCTCTGGTGTCAATTAGATCAATTATTTTGTTCTTAGACATTTTTAATTTGTTTTTCTTTAATATTTCTTAAGTATCTAACATTAACATAAAAATTTTTTTACATAAAAGTCATTAATGGCCATCATATTCCGTTGCTACACATGATCTAAATCAGTTCAAATTAATCTAATATGACCACCAGACCATTAATAAAGCATAAAATAATTTATTTCAATTGTTATAAACAATATTAATTAACAAATAGTTAAATTTTCTTCCTCTTCACACAAATTTTTTTTCACGTTCAATTTTGAACTTAGGTTTATTCAAAAAATATTCTTTAATCAATTTCTCGAATTGACTAAGTAATTCGCGAAATGACGAAGCCTTTTTAGGCAAATTGCCAATTTGCCTAAAACGGCCCCGGCATTTCACGAATCGCCTACTCAATTCTCGAAATGCCTAGGTAATTCGAGAACTGCCTGTAAATCTTTAGGAAATTCGGGTATCTCCTAAAATCTTAGGCATTTCGCAAAATGCCTGGTCTTCGGGTTTTGCCGGTAACACGTACACTATTAAAACATGCGCAGAGAATCTTGGCGCATCTCTTCTTTCGACAAAATTCCGGAACTCTTATGAAATTTAAACTGTAGTTCTCCCCTGTATTTTTCCAGGAATTCATTTATAATGCTGATTTTGAAATTCTTACGAAAATAGTTTCGTAATTATTTCGGAAAGATACATTTACATCAAATTTCTAAAAATTTCTGGAGCCTTGCACAAATTCTCGATTTTTGAACAAATTTAGGAATTCTTACCGAGTTTATTTTTTCAATGTTTATGTTGTGGTCAAAATCCGGAGTGCGGGTAATCCGCAGAATTGCTGTTTTGGGCAAAGAGAGTTAAAGAGTGTAAAAAATCAGGACTTTTCTCTAATGTATTAAAAAGGCACCAAAGGTCTGTCTGTTCACCTAAAGTGTTGATAGTTACAATTTAAACCTAAAAAAAATTTACTAAATTTAATTTATTTAAATTTATTTTTAGCGCGTCTAAAGTGGGTGGACCCCCTAACTTTGAAATATTACTTTGAAAGTCATATTCACAAAACAATTGAAATAACAGTGGATACTTTTCACATATTTTATTGTTTATGTCAACATAATGTTTTATAAGGGAACAAATTTTCAAATAATAAAATTTAGATTAGGCACTCCAAATATTCAAATACTAAAATTTTTTAAATTTAAACTTCATTAAACATAATATTTAAATAAAATAAATTACAGTACTTTATTAATTAAAATCTTATGCTATAAAAAGGAATATGCAAAAGTCTGGAAATACAATTTCTAAATTTTGTAATGATCTACTTGTAAAATTAAAATTTAAAGTACACATTAAATGAACTGATTTGTTCACTATCAAATTAATTATTTTCATCTAATTCAAATTTTGAGAGTAAATTGTATGAAATATTAAAGATATTTGTAAACAGAAGATCCTAAACTCAAAAATAAATTAAAAAAATTTTATTATAATGGTGTAAATGTTAATGTTATAGGAAAGAAATAAAAAGTAATGAATGAAATTAAAATAATATTAATAATGTATCTCTTTTCGTAGAAAAATGTAATGAAAATGAATAACAATTAAAAACATTTGATTATAGGCCACTGTTTATCGAGGAGGATACAACAGGTTTACGCCTTATTAAAGAAATAGGAAGCACATCGGAACCTTCCAGTCAAACCACATCCACTAAATCATGGTCAGAAAGAAAAGCAATCATCCAACCCACCAACACGATGCCTGGACATTCTGATTTATCGATGTCATTTTATATCTGCACTTCAGACATCAATTCAGTTCGTCAAGAGAACTTCTTCAGTGCATCATTAGTAATTCTTATCTCTTACATAATGACGAACATGTACGTCGAATTAAGCCAAATTATAATGATAGTAATTCACAATTAGATGGTAGAATCACAGAAAAAGGTGCGTTAAGGAGCCTCGATTAAAATCTCTTTTTTCTAAATAGTATCGTTAAAATAGAAATTATCAGCTCGCTTAATAAAAATGGCAGCCATAATTGACAATATTCCTCTTGAAAAAATTCAGTTGTGAGAACGATACTTTTTGATAGTTTTCGCTTTTTGATATTTTTAAAACTTATTGTGTAGCCAAATGTACAAAGGACTTGAAACAATTTTGTAGATATTGTAAGAATTTTTTACAAATCTGGAAAGAGTGTATGTTATTTTTTTAGTAGTATTTTCACTTGATTTAGTTTCTTTTGTAATTTGTTTTTTACAATTACCATTGTCCAAAGTATGTGCGTGTGTGAAACAGAAAAGAAAAGAGTAGGTCGATGTGGCTGCCGTTCTCGAGCGAAACTGTCTGATTTCCGTTTGAACGAGCTGCAATGTTTGCAGAAGTTAACTCTAAATAATAAACAGTAAGCTATTCCGACAGTTGCGTAAAAAGGCGCACAAGTTGGTGCATTTCTATACCAAATATTTGCGTAGGTCGCGAACCATACATTAAGTACAGTAATGTAGATTGTAGTATTACACGGAAAGACTTTTTATTTCAAAATGTGACAAACCTATTAAATGTTAATTCAACAAAATATTAATAAAGTCACTAGTAAACTGGTCTTCTTTTCGCTTCTTTTCGCTTCTCTTCGCTGTGACAATTACAAGCGACACTATTTACATTTTATAACAAACATCGAATAGCCCAAGTTTAATAATCTGTTAATTGTGATTTTAAATAAAAGGTCTTTTCCTGTATAATCTAGACCGATCTACCGGATTCTGGTAAACAGAGTCTAACCATTATCTCAACCGGTTCTAATCAAACAATTTTACTCATAGTTTTACATTCGATATTACTAATAATGATATTAAGACTATGAATAATGTTACTTTATGTTGTGTATGTCAGACACTCCCTAAAATCCTGTAATAATCGTCGCCCTATCCAAATTTCAGGTTAATTAGATGAATTCATTTTTTTCTACTTTTATTTATATCCTATTTCCAGTTTTTTTAATTCGAAATAAACATCAAATTTAGAATCCTGTGAATTTGATGCAGAGAAAAATTTTAATCGCAGCCAATTGAGAATTTAAAATAAGGATTACTTTATAAAATTTGAAATGAGATTGAATAATTTATTTCTATCAAATTTATTGCTGAATCAGAGTTTGGTAACAAAATGAAATTTTACTTAAATTGAGGAACCGGAAAAAGAACTCACCGTTTGCGCGAACGCTCACACTAATACCAGTTAGGAACGTTTGAACCATTATGATGTCACAGTTTTACAACACAAATCTTTTCCGTATCTGGTTAATGGAGATTGAAATACTTATTTATCAAAGTTGTTAATAAATGAATATAATAATATAAATTGTCTGTTCTATTACACATAACAGACGTTGATTGAAATTTTACTTGAAAAATGTTGATTTAAGCAAATGTTTAGCTTCGTATAAGTATTTATTGAAGAAAAACTTGTCACTGAGAGGTTATAATTTTATCAAAAGTTCTTTTAAACCTAAAATTTCAATCAACCTGCACATAATAGACGTAATCTATATAGGTATCTTTATAAACATTTTCCAACCACTTTTATTAAAAATTATTCAAATCTTCATCAACCAGACACGGAACAGATTTGTGTTGAAAAATGTGACGTCACAATGGTTCAAATGCTCTTAAGTAGCAGTTGAGCTCCTTTGTGTCTCTTATTACTACCTGACTGGTATTAGCGCGAGCATTTGCACGCTCAAGAAGTTCTTCCCAGCTCCTCAAATCCATCTTTCAATTATGATGTGAAATAAATAAGCTGAATCAGAAAATTGAATAGCAATAAATAAACATTTTTAAATCGTATTTCAATTTCAAATTAACGTTAAATGAAAAACAAAATCAATATTGAAAACAATTAAAACTTTTTATTTTACAAGTAAATTTAATTTTATGAGATAAGCCAAATTAGCAGTGGAATTAAAAATAAAAGTATGTCTTACTGAAGCCAAAGTCTAAATCGTTTTCAAATTCAGTAACAGTATCAATTTCAAATAGCATTGAAATTTAGAATAATAATTTTTTTAATTTAAATCAGTTACCTATTTTATGAAACCATTGGGTCCTGTTTGTAGTAAAATAAAATTTTTACAAACAAAACTTAAATAATGAAATTAATGAAATAAAAAAATATCCATTAATAAAATATTTAGATTTCGCGCATGTCAATTTGTAGGATGATAGCGAAGCACCAAAGTAATTTTCTTTCCATTTTCATTATGATATCGATGCTCGGTACAAAAAGGCTGAACGTCGCTTCGCTTCGAGAAACCAAAACGAATTTTATTTATTTATTTCTTAGCTAGACAGTAAACGAACATGACACAAATTTATATGACTTAATTCATAAATGGATCCATTAAAGTATACGTATATAGAATCTCGCAACTGAAGAGGGAAAGAGAGACGCTAATAAATGATCGAGGTTAGCAACTGAATATGTACGTAATTTATAACAGTAGCAGTAGTAGTAATAATAAATCGATCAAAAGGTGTGTATCGCGCTATAATTATGTTGAATTTTTAAAAGCAAAACTGTCACACTTTAAATCTAAGAAGAAGTAAACAGACGCGCAAACGGCTGAGTTTTAAATCGTAAGAAAGTTGTTGCTATAATATAAGCATTCATAATGTTAAATAATGTTGGTAAACATGCGAACAAATGAATTTGAAAGAAACAAAATGAAAAAAGTGAAACTCATGATACGCACATTATGCTGGAGTGAGTGATATGCGTGGAAATTATGTTTTATAAGTCGTAATAAGTTTGTGCGCGTTTTAAAAGTATTGGTCAATCGAAGAGTCGAATTAGCCAAATATGACAAAGATGTTAGCAGTTCGCGTTACGTTTCAATCTACTCTCCGTTAGCTTTAGGCTAGATGAAGCTCCGCATTATGAGATAAAGAATAAAATTTAATACACTCCCGCCAGATTGTAAATAAATCCAGTGTCAAGCACAAATCGCAAAAGCAGCGAAATTGTCAAATTTAAAAGGAGCTAAACTCTGACATACTCACTTCTATTGATAATTTAAGAATTATAGTTTAACTTACATTTAATAATGCGAATGTATCTCTGTTATAAAAAGTCAGTCACTAATGTTACTCTCTCGCGATCGCAAAGACACTCTTAAAAAGGAAGAAAAAATTAAGTAAGAGCTCTGGTGCTAGAATGGTAAAATGACCGAAAATATATGTAAAAGCATATAAAAATATAAAAATTGGAATTTTAACTATTGTAGATTTTATGTAATTTGGAGATTTGCTGGGCGATTGCGAGAGACCAAAAAATTGCGATTAGCTCTTACCTCCTGTATATTATAAAATGTAACTATAATTTATATAACTCATTACTCGATCATATTTGTCGTTAGGCTATTAAACTTTAGTGTGTAGCATAAAACAAGCTCAAATTAGGCAATTAATCGCCCCTGCAGAGCTATTTTTATTGTAATATTGTCACAAGCACAAGATTTTTTAGAATTTTTTTTATAGTTATCTTGCGACTGGCCTACACTGTTTATAGTTTTTGTAGATATTTATGTAAACTTTTTTTATATCCACTTTCGTCATTGTGTAAAATAATACTTTTTGTAAAACTCTAGTATGAACAACTGGCAATGAATTTTAGCAAATAAAAATATGTAAAATTATTGAAAAATTGTCAAAAGTCGTTTGCCCATCAAAAGTTTTCTTCTATTTGACATTTTTTTGTTAATAACGTTTTCTGTTTATCTACGAAAGTTTTCACAATGAAATTTTTACAATGAAAATTGAATTCTATTTGAAAATAAAATTTGATAGGAAACGCAGTTTGAAGATGCAAACAACTTTTTACTATTTTTATGAGTGAGATATTTGTGATTGTTTGTTTTTTGTTTTTTGATTTATATAAAAACGATATTTGATAAGTTTGTAAGTTAAGAGATTGAAATGAATTTTTGAAATGCAGGGGTTGATAATTGCATAAAAGAATTTTGAACCTCATACTACCGATGGTAATTTTACATTGTAAAGTCTATATAAATACAATATCAATGTAAAATATTTAATGACACGCACCTTACAATATATGATAAAGAAACTTTTAAACGATTAGGTGAATACATAACTACGTAATGACACATCTTTCGAACAACATATCTTAGCATATGAGACAAGTTGCTGCTCAATATCATATCTAAAGAAAATTAACTGTCCAATATTTGAATTCGATTAGAAGATTGTTTCAAATTTTAAAATTTAAAAATTTTTATGTATAAAGCATTTGTGTTAAATAATTCTCTCACTGATAAGTTTCTCTGCTTTAGTATTTATTAAACGTAACAAATTTCGAGATTTCAATAACAAATTTCTGTTGCAGAGGATGCGGATGATAAAAAGAGGATTAAGGAGAAGATTATTTTTTCAATAGATGTTAATAAGAGATATTGTGAATTCCAAAGAAATTACTTATGAGTTGGGCAGCATCTTGTTGTATTTTGAACTATTAAAATAAAGAGATGTTCCATGACATTTGAGTGTTATAATGTAGAATACTTGTGTGTATGAAGTATTGAGTGAAAAAAGTTATGATCGAATATATGAGTCAGAAGCATAGTCTTTAATCTTAAAATTGCATTGAAGACGAAAGTAATAGCTATGCCATTGATTATGTTTCTTGCAGTGTAAATGAATGCAAATGAACAATATCTATAATAAAATGGATAAAAATAAGGTCCAGTTTTATTATCACTGCGAACGCCCGTTAATGGATCTTTGAAATAAATATGGATAAATATGGATATTTGCACACAAGAAATGTTTAATTGATAATTAATAATTGATAAATGAAAAATAAAACGGTGAATATTATATGAATCGAAATTTTGATGCAAGTACTGACAGAAATGTCAAGTGTCTCCGGGAATACCTTCATCAATATTTGATTTGATCATATTCTCTAAGTCTGGACCAGTTGATAGGTTCTTATTACATACTCTCATAGTGAGTTCTTATGGCGTATTTTCTCTGTATATTGTCAATGTTTATTATTAAATATTTTTCAAATAACTCGACTGTCTTCATTTTTTAAAGAAAAATAAAGAGTACTTTATTTCTCATCAGCATATTAATTAACAATTTAAGAATATTTTTAGGAATAAGGATAATATAATATTTTTAAATATATGTGATCTGGTAAGGTAAGATGTGTTTTTTTTTATTGCAATAAACTCCGAACATCTAGATGTTCGGAAAACTTCATTAGTTTTTTTTCAAATGTACTGCAAAGATGAACGTAATTAGCTAAAAAAACGTTAAAAAACATTAGTACAAAAGAAATTGGTCGGATTTGCAGCTAGAGCAAGGGAGAGAAAACATATAATTTTAATTGTCTGACTCTCTTACTCTCATGTGTTACGTGCAAGCAGGCGGCAGCCACCGAGCTGTGTCTGAGCCTACAAAACCCCCAAATAATAAATTTCAGGCAAATTCAAAAAATGTTTTAATTTTGTCCGCCATTTTGAATTTTTAAATCTGATGCCAGATTCGTTTTTAAAAATGGCAAAAATACCCGAGTAATGAATTTCAGACAAATACAAACAATTCTTAATTTTTGTCTTCCATATTGGATCCGCTATTTTGAATTTAAAAAATCTGATGCCAGATTCATAATCAGCGACTCCAAAAACGCCCGAGTAACGTGTTTAAACCATTAAATGTGATTTTTAACGTAATTATAGTAACTGATTTTGGTTTCGATAAGGAAAACGATTGTGAGAATGATGAATAAAAACAATAGTTGATAGCTTACCATCCTCGAAGTAACACAATTTTAACTTTGTCTGTCTATTTTAATTGATTGCTTTCATCTTAAATAAATTTATATATTTTTACTGTTACTTCTTTTCTCATGTTTATTGTATTTTAACATCCTACAGAACATATTGTGACGATAAATGAATGTTTTAATTTAAAATTCAATTTAATATTATAAGAGATTTTGTAATAATAATGTATTTACAATTATATAAACAACTATTTCATTTCATTCTCCATCTAAATTGACGATAACCGGACAATCCTCTTCACCCTCTTCTTGTAAATTTGAAAAATCCCACGTAAATTTACTAGAAATTCTGTCTCGCATTCGAACTGCTTCAGATTTCAATCTTACATCAACATCGGTATTTGCTTCTATGTTTGAAAAAAGGAGACGAAGATTGTGATATACAAAATTATTACTGGCAACTATGTCATATAACACTTCCTCTGGAATCCATATAAGCTGAACTTCCAATGTTCTGAGAAATTCGGTGTAGATTTGACGACGTACAGAAATTGCACAATCGGCACGACATATTAAAGATACTAGTAGTTTCCAATGTTCAAAAGCATCTAAACTTTGACCGACGAGGAAACAAACAAATGCCAGTTGTAGTTCTCCAATCACTTCAATAGGACTGAAATAATTTCATTTTATTTACGTGTTATAATTTATTTAAATATATTAAATAGATATGGGGAAATCTCACGAATTTTTTGTTTAAGAAACATATTTTTAATAAAAGCACACTTTTTTATCATGAATTATCATTTGATGACTTAGCTTAGTTTCTAATAGCTACTAGATTGCAACATAGTATATATGAGCGATTCCACGTCAAGTGATAAAGGTAGAGAAAATTTTTTAACCAATCGTGCCTAAACTTGGGGCTTTTGTAGTACTAATAGATAGTAATTTTTTGTGAAAATATTTTTTCAATTAGTCCAATATTTTCCAAGGGGGAGGGTGTGAAAGTTTGGGGTTTTACGGTACAATGCTTATTTTGATAATTTTTTACTCTTAAGCAATTAAATAAAAAACTTTGTCAGGGTACAGTTTCGATAGATTTTTTCATGCTCTTTCGATTGGCAGTGTGTATACTGAAAAACAGAGTTTTCTACTGACCGGAGCGCAAAACCGGGCCCCGCGACAGTCCGCAGCGCTCCAGTCAGAAGAAAACTCTTTTTTCTACCACACGCAAAAAAGTTAGCACATAATATGAAAGTATATTGAAAGTACTTTACATTATGTAGTAATAAATTTTTTAATATTTATAAACTTTTTAGAAAAGTGTAAATAAAATGTAGTGACTTTTGACATTTTATAGTTAAGTTTTAAAATCAATTTTTATCTATTATTTTGGATATGTATATTATATATTATATATATTTATATATAAAATATATATTATAATAAAAAAAAATAAAAAAAATAAAAAATAAAAAAATAAAAAAAAAATAATAATAATAATAATATTATATATATATATTATAATATTATTATAATATTATAATAATAATATTTATAATAATATAAAAATATAAAAATTAAATATATATTATTATATATTATATATATTTTTATGTATATTATATGTATATTTTATTATATTTTATGTTTACATAATAATCTATTTATACAAGTAAATTAGCTCATTTTTAACAAATATCAATCAAGAAATTTGTATTATCTAAATTATTTCCATGATTTTTTATTAAATTTTCAGAACTGTCAATCTAACCTTTTTACTGTGCAACTCAACTTAAAAATTAAAATTCTAAGTTTAATTCAAAAAATTTTATAAAAGAATTCTCAAAAATGAATTCTATGGATATTAAACATCATTTTTACAAATTATGAGATTTTTTTAAAAATAGGCCGCAACGGCTTCAGGTGAAATATAATGGACTGACCCAAAGATTCTAAACAATTTTGGAAAGTTGTGAATCCCTATCGCCCTTATAAGAAAGGTAACGCTATCGACCCTGAAAACTACAGACCCATCTTGTTTCTTGGTCCAATGAATTGGGTCTGATTCCCGAATCTCAATCCGAGTTTAGAAAGGGCCGAAGCTGCACCGAAAATTTGTTCACTTTATCAGCTAGTAAAAGTATGATTTCATTGTATGCCCTTTCGGGCCTTTACAATCTCCTCAACATCACTACTAGACTTTTCTAACTCACAAACTCTTTGGGGTCTTTACTTTTGCGGCTGCAGCCGACTTAGGTTAAGAGTACTCGCATTCGCCTGGACATTTGGCCAGGGGAGAGGAAAACTGCAGAAAACCCACTTCCCGAGTACAACCGGTTTATTGACGTCGAGTCATGAATGTACATTTGGATATCCATCACAGATTCACAAACATAGCCTCGGCGTCAAACCTCCCGTTTGATATATCTCGATCAGTGAAAAACACCGAAACTGTGGCGATTCACAGAGGGTCACCCATCCAGGCACTAACCGCGCTCAAATGATGCTTAACCTCCGTGGTCGCAAGCCACGGGATTCCGCCAACCGAGCTATACCATCGGTACACTTTATTAGCTAGTATACAGATTCATTTGCAAAAGCCGAGAGCCGTAGTATATGCATTATTTGTGGATTTCAAGGGGGCTTTTCCATCGGTGTCGCACCATCTTTGGTTATACAAATCATGTTAAAGTCACACAAGGAGTACTCCAGGGTGAAGTCCTCAGTTCGTACGAATTTTTGCTTTTTATATCTGACATGGAAGCTCATTTTGTTAACTGTGGGTGCAGAGGTATCTCAGTTGATAACATGTTGGATATTTTGCTACTTGGATTTGCTGATGATTATGTATTTCTATATGATACTCCAATGGAGTTGAATAGAAAACTGGAGGCATTGCACTCCTACTGCGAGCTTATAATAAATCGAGTGTCAATGTTAAAGAAACTAAGGTGCTAATTTTTCACGAGATCGGGAAATTCTTCTGCTAGAAGATTTAAATCTTTTAAATTCGGTGATGAGCGTATTGAGGTGGTCAATGAGTATGTGTACTTGGGTATCCCGTTTGACAGTTTTTGTTCATTTTCGTCTGCGGCTAAAAAAGCATCCGGAGCGGCTAATATTGCAATTGGTTCTATTTTGAGGGTCATCCAGTCTACCAAGGCCGACTCATGGAGCGCTTATGCCAGATTGTTTGAGAGTATGCCCCTAAATGTTTTATTTTATGGTGCCCAAGTTTGGGCTTTAAAACATTTAGATTGTCTAGAGAAGATCCAGCAATCTTTTTATAAGCATAACTTTTGTTTCCACCCACTTGTTCTTCTGGTTATGCAGTTAGATTAGAAACTGGAATAATGCATTTATCCTTCTTTGTCCTCAAAAGAGTAATGACCTGGTTAACAAAAATCTTTAATATGGAATTTTCGCGGTACCCTAGGCGTTGTTTTGAGAGGCTGAGGGAGTTGGCATTAAAAAATTAAAATTGTAAATTTAACTGGTTTGCCCAAACACGGTATTTTTTTGAAGTTTGTAACCAGGTGGACAGGTGGAGAAGTTTAAACTTTAATAAACCTGATTTTGAGAGTGGATGGATGCCAATTATTTCGTCAAATGATCGCGCAACGATTAATTTTTTTTAAAGATTTTTCGAATTTTTAATACTTAAGTTTAATTGTAACTATTTAATGCTCATATCTTGAAACTCCTCTTGTATTTACTTTATGTAATAAGACAAGTGTAATAAATATACTTAAATATTAAATATAAAAAATAATAATCAAAGTTGACCCTGTCAAAAAAAAAATTTATCGATTTCACATTTATACTCGAATATTAATTTAAAAAAATATTATTTTATTAAAAAATACTGATGCTTTTAAAATTTTTGTCTGTTGATTACGAATCTAAAGTCAAACTATAAGAATTCAAAATCGTGTTCCTATCCAATATGGAGTATCTACTATGACACTAAAGTTTTGCAAAAATTGAACAAATTCACTTGAAATTCGTTACTCGGAGGTTTTTGGGGTCAGTAATTACGAATTTGATGTAAAATTCCAAAAATTTTAAATAGCGGATCCCATATGGTAGACAAGTTTTGTAAAAATTCATCGAATTCAATTAACCCATTAAAGCTCGTTACTTGGGGGTAACAACTGATCCCCCATATGTTGTTCGCTATTTTGAATTTCTGAAATCTAGCATAAAATTCGCAATTAGCGACACCAAAAAGCCTTGTGTAACGAGTTTCAAGTGAATCCGATAAATTGTTGCAAAATTTGAATCTTAAATAAGATCTGCCATTTCGAATTCTTACAGTTTGTCTTTAGATTCATAATAATCAGCTGCTAATAATCTTAAAAGAACATTTAGTATTTTTTTAAAATTAATATTCGAGTATAACTGTGAAATCGATAAATATTTTTTATTGGACTTGGTCAACTTTGACCCCCTATATTTCCTAAATGGGGCACATAGTCCCCTTAAAATTTTTCAGAGATTATTGAGTCATTATAAGTGACCATTTAAAGTCGCACTTTAATGATTTGAATTGTTTCGGTGATATTCTGTACACAAAAAATTGTAATAAATCTACAAAATACATTTATTTATAAAAATTAATTTTAGTATCAATTTGCATTACGATTCTGCACATACTTTAAATTTAAATATACAAAAATTAAATTATTTAACCTTAAAAATCTCGTTAAAAGTCGATTTTCTTAAAAACGGCTCGATGAAAGATTTTGTTTTTTTTGTAAAACATTTTGAAAAGTGTCCAGATTTATTGAATCTGGACACTAAAATATATGGAAAGACATTTATAGTGTGAGCTTTTGAAAATGCTTACTGCCAATCGAAAGGGCATGAAAAAATCTTTCGAAACTGAACCTTGACAAATTTTTTTGTTTAAATGTTTAAACGGAAAAAATTTAAAAAAAAGCATTGTACCGTAAGACCCCTTGATCTCTTGACATGGAATCGCACATATACATATGTATATATTATTTATATATTAACTGTTCATTATGTAAAAGTATCAAGCATCACCAAATCAAGTATAAACTTCGGCAAAAAACGCAAGACAGCAACGTTCGCTTTTAGAATGGAACACTCTATAAAGAATTAGTAAAAATATTGTCAAATTTGAATTAGTGACTGACTTTTTGCTTTCGAATTAGTAAATTTTACAAATAAATAGTCATTTCCACAAATTTATTAGTAAACTTTACTAATTCAAAAGCAAAAAGTCATTCACTAATTCAAATTTAGAGACCATGTCTATACTACTTTAGCATTATTTTTTTCTTAGTATATACCCAGATAGCACAATACTTTGTAGGAACTTAGCAGGAAACTATCCGCGTTAAGTTCCGAACTTAACGCGGTTAATGTAGGAAATTATTTGCTGATTAAGAATTTTAATTAAGGAAGATTTCGACTATATCAGCAATTAGTGACATCTATTAGACGTCAATTGAACTCTTTGGTTTAGAGTCAGGTGTTATTCTTAAGATAATTATTCCGATATGGTTGTCGGTAAATAATTATATTTTTGAATTTAATTTTTGATCTGAAGAAATAAGCTGCGTGAACGACTAACTGCACTGTGCATCTGTGAGGACTCGAACCCCAGTTAATAGCTGCCTTTCGCGGGACTAACGCCTA